GCAAAGATCCTGTGGGACTTCCAGATACAGACCGACCGAATGGTAATGGCAAACCAACCTGACATCGTGGTGGTAGACAAAGGGCAGAGGACAGCCGTGGTGGTGGACGTGGCAATTCCAAGCGATGGTAACATCCGGAAAAAAGAACATGAAAAGCTTGAGAAATACCAAGGTCTCAGAGAGGAGCTGGAGAGGACCTGGAGGGTAAAGGTGACAGTAGTGCCCGTGGTGATCGGTGCACTCGGGGCAGTGACCCCGAAGCTAGAAGAGTGGTTACAGCGGATCCCCGGAACAACCTCGGACATCTCGGTCCAGAAATGTGCAGTGCTAGGAACAGCAAAGATACTGCGCAGAACCCTCAAGCTCCCAGGCCTCTGGTAGAGGACCCGAGCTTAGAGAGGGATAACCGCCCGCGGAGGGCCAAAGGTGAGTGGAAAAATATTATATATATATATATATTAGGGGTGCAACGGTTTGAAAAAATCACGGTTCGGTTCGTACCTCGGTTCAGAGGCCACGGTTCGGTTCATTTTTCGGTTCATTTTTCAAAAAAAAAGTGTTGTCTTTTTAATAAACACAGCTCATGTGGACTCGGCACCTGCTCTGACTGCCCCCCCTGACCTAGAAATGAATTAAGGGGAAGGAAATGGATGGATGGATGGATGGAATATTCCATCCATCCAATTATGTCTATTTAACATAATTAATGAAAAACAACACAAAGTGCAACATAAGAAGGCACTTTATGAGGATATTTACTCTCATATATTACACCACCTTCCTGATTCTCCCGAGGAGGCGCTCCATTCTGGGCCCAGCCTCATTCACTGAATTTATTTAATTTTTGGCATTATCAGTTGTGACTGGGATATTAGTACTGGGCCTTTGTCTTCCATTCCTCCGCTGCTTGTGTCAGAACCTGCGCTGTGTGACTGTCGTAGAGGGGGCGTGTCTGCAGCGCCAGACTCTTCATCTCAGTCTGCGGTGATGAAGTGAGCGGTTCCGCTCATGGATCTATTATAGGTTCCGCGGGACGTCCAAGCGTCCGTCGTGAGCGCAGCTGAGGATGCGCGGGAGAGTTGACTTTAGCCCGGTCTGACTGTGCGTAAAGGAGCTGCTTAAATGCCGCGACAATAAGCGGTCGTTGAGACGCTTTTTTCACTCATGTCTTTCTTGTGCCACATTGCTTACACATCGTGACAGTTTTGTCGAATATTAATTATCAGTGTAGTTACAGTGAAGCCAAAATGCTCTCATACTGGGGATTTAAATGACGCAGGGCTTTCAAGCATCTCCGTTCCTCCGCTCGCAATGACCGCGCTGTGTGTGGACTGAACAACGTGCGCACAACTTTTTTTTCATAAATCAAACCGCGGATCACGTCTGTACCGAACCGAAGACGTTGAACCGAACGGATCACGGATCAGTGATGAACCGTTGCACCTCTAATATATATATATAAATATATATATATATATAATATATTCGAATGAATATTAGACAGCCCTTAATATTCGAAGCTGTAATGGGCATTATCTTTAATGATATATATAATCAGAATCAGAATCATTTTTATTGCCACGTAAGTAACAGGAGGTCACAGACTTGGAAATTGCTTTGGCTCAGTGCAACAGTCAGAAAGAGATAATAAAAATAAGAATAAAAAACACTTCTAAAGAATAAATTTAAATTTAAAATAGAGTTACAGTTACTATTTACAATATACAAGTGCACATGGTGCACACAATGTAAGGTGACAGCAGTACAGTGAAGTAAAGTGAAGTAAGTAAAGTGAAGTAAAGCAGTACAGTGAAGTAAAGTGAAGTAAGTAAAGTGAAGTAAAGCAGTACAGTGAAGTAAAGTGAAGTAAGTAAAGTGAAGTAAAGCAGTACAGTGAAGTAAAGTGAAGTAAAGCCTTAACCCTAACCCTTTATAAAATAGTTAGTTCCCAAAGGTTTCGCCCTGACGTGGCTAGACCATATAGATTATAGACTGTAGGCTAGACGGGTAACAGCTACGCTAGCTAACTAACTAGTAGGGCTGGGCGGTATAAACGGTATAAGCGGTATGCGGTATAAATTTGGCCCACGGTAGAGATTTTTGTTATACATAGTTCCCACATGACGTCACTACATACGGGGATTTGCCGACCCGGCGCCATTTGTGCTGGCATTCTGTGGGCAAAAAAATAGAAAAAGAAGCTGAAACGTGTGATAAAGTTGAAAATGGTCATCTCCTGCTGGGTCAATGGATGTTCTAATCGTGCCGGAGGTTCAGTTAAACTTGGATTTTACAGTATACCCATCATTAGACTTCATGAATGTGAGAAGACTAAGCTTTTGTCTGAACAACGACGGAGGTTCTGGCTTGCGAAGATAAACAGGCAAGAAACTCCCTCAAAACACGCAAGAATATGCTCGGAGCACTTTGTGTCGGGTGCGTATCGTATCTTATAATGTGTTGACAGACGTAATTTACTCAGTACTAACTTGTGTATGCTGATATCTGGTAACTTGAGAGTTTCATTTAGATTACTTTATTATGAGCAGGATCGGTGTCGCGTCCGAGGCTCTCGAGGGCAACGTAAATGTATTAAATAGATAATAATAGTTCTATGGTGGGCTAAAACAATGTTCACAAACAGCATTGCTTCTGTAAAAAGATCTGTGTCATAAAATAAACTGCTCTTTACGCCTGGAAAAATCAGTTGCCCACCATTCACCAAAACATACGGTCAAAAACGCGGAAATAAACAATAACAGCAATCCAGAGTGTCCGTGTGGCATTAGCATTAATTAAATTAATTGTTAATATAATTAAAATAATTAAATGGAGCTCCAACTGGTATTAAATCTAAAGTTTTTGAGAAATGTTTGCATTGCTTGTTAATTTTTGCTGCATAATTTGATCAAATATGTAAAACATGTCCGTAGCACGTTAAACTGTGGTGCCATTGTATTAATATACAATTATTTGCTCAAAAGTTTCCCTTTTTTTCCAATTTGCGTTTGAATATCTACATTTATTCTCATTCTTCTGTTTAATGGAATGCACAAACACAGCAGCGTGCCATCAAAGATGGCGTCTCCGAGGAGGTCATGTGACATTCATTGGTCTGTGGGAACTATGTATACCGGCATATTGCGATAGGTCATTATGTCATCAAATTGCGCAGGCTCTGACGCCAGCAGAAAGGACCAAAACAAACCGGCATTCAGCAGCATTAGCCTAGCACATTAGCCTAGCAGACACCACTGGAAACAACAGCACGGCTTTCACACCGTGTTTCTGTCTCTGTATTGGTCACAGCGGCCCCAGCAGAGGTAAATACACACACAGCAATCACAGTTTACATGTCTACCTTTCGGCCAATGAGTGTCAAAGGGGCGTAGGCTCGAAGCGCCATCGTGAGCCGAAATATCAATCAATCAATCAATCTTTATTTATAGGGCGCTTTTCCTGCACAGGGCAACACAAAGCGCCTCACAGTCCACACCACACAATGCACAAATCATCACCATTAAAATACAATTAAAAACACATATGTAATTAAAAAGCATTAAAATCACATAAGTAATTTAAAAACATAAGAATCACACAAGTAATTAAAAACAATAAAATAGTTAAAAACACAAAAAGTTACAACAATAAATAACAAGGTGTGTTAAAAAGATAAAATTCTCTAGTTGTATGCACAGGAAAAAAGAAAAGTCTTTAACATGGATTTGAACATTGACAGAGAGGCAGCCAGTCTCACATCCTCAGGAAGACTGTTCCAGACTTTAGCTGCATAGATCTGAAAAGCAGCCTCCCCCTGTCTAGTCCTGACTCTGGGCACTAACAAGAGTCCCGTCCCTGCGCTCCTCAGAGTCCGGGCTGGTTCATATGGGACTAACATATCATGGATGTACTTTGGTGCAAGGCCATGGAGAGACTTGTACACCAGGAGAGCTGCTTTAAAGTCTATCCTCTGGGCCACGGGAAGCCAGTGCAGAGACCTGAGGACCGGACTAATGTGGTCGTACTTCCTGGTTCTAGTCAGGACTCGGGCTGCAGCATTTTGAATATACTGCAGCTGTTTTACTGCATGTTTGGAGATACCTGTGAGCAGGCCATTGAAATAGATCCATGCTTGTGCCGTGTCCGCATCATCTCAGAAGTTTTGTAAAGTTAGCGTCCGATTCAGACTTCCGCGGTCAATAGATCACGAAAGCTACTTTGTTAAACAAAATTAATTGTGCCAAAATGAGCATTTACATCAATTGTTCAAATCAAATGCGCTGTTTTAATGCAGATAAATCCATTGAATCATCCAGTTCACAGCAAGCGCTTAGGGAGCGTCAACAAATGGCAAGACTAGCTTTGTAAACGAACAATAGCTTTTACTGAAGCCATGCATACGCACTAAACTCTGACACTATAAATAATGACCATGTCTAACTGCTACAGATATTATATAATATATTTTATATTTTTATATTATTTAAAATTGCTTTCACAGTTAATGGTCTTTACTGTAACATACATAAATAATGTATGTTACAGCATTTGTCTCTCACCTGATTTTCAAACTCAAAAAATATATATCAGATTCTAATGTATAGATAAGTAACAATCTTGACTATTTTATGCAAGAACCTGCTAAACCTATATTGAAATTCACACACCAAATTATACCGTGATGTATACCGTCTACCGTCTGTGACCCAAATCATACCGCGATATGAATTTTAGGCCATATCGCCCACCCCCACTAACTAGAACTCTTGGTTTGGTTTGAGAGGTCCGTTATTAAGAAATATTGATCGGTAGAGCATTGGCCTTTGAGCCTGAAGGTCAAAGGCCAATGGTGGGCTCAAACCAAAGGCTTCGGCAAGGGACATGGGAGAGACACGGGGGAGACACAGGAGAAGGTCCTGAACACAAGTCTATGGTTCTATCTGCGTGTCCATGGTTCTGTCCGCGACTCCATGGTTCTGTCCACGCGTCTGTCCACCATGTTACGGTGCTGAGCTGTTGTCAAAGTGGTTGTCAGTACACGGCCATAGCTCGAGTGAAGGATTTCCTGAAGGAGTTGACGCCTTGAAAAACAAAAGAGAAAAAAACAGTTAAATAAATGACATCTAGTAGACATCATTTTGTCATTCCATGTCTTGTAACATGAAATAATATATCGACGCAAGGGTCTCTCTCTCTCTCGCTGACCGTCCAACCGCCACGCCAGTTTGTTCTCTCATTTACACGCACTTGTTGGAATATTGAACTCCTGGACCAGTTAAAATTAAAATCAGTTTAGTATTGTTTCTGTTGCCAAATTAGCACTTGTTTGTGTAAATCTCAAAGAGCAGTGAGTTCAAGGTTAGTCTGTGTGAGAATGGGAGGGGGACAAGAGGGAGACAAGTGGTTATCAGAGCAGGTGCAGGCTTTGGCAGCTGGCCAGAAGAAGTCATAGAGTCCACGAATCTGTGATGTCAGTGACCTTGGATGTACAGTATAAAAGATGTACAGGAGGAGGCACGGGGGCTTTTTCTTTTTCTTCTGACAAGGAGCAGTGAGACGTCCCCGGGGGCCACTCCTTATCTTGGACGCGAAGCGAGACTTGTGTTCGCAGACCGTTAATATTGTAATATTGCTTGCAAAATCTTCAATATAACCTTTTGAAATCAGGTTTGGTATCTGTCATTTCTATTACTGTTTTAACATTGGTTTTTGTCTCTTGTTGAACTAAAAGGACCTGCAGAACGAAGGGCTGTGTTTGCGGCCTCTCTGCAGCTTCTGGGGCTGGGGAATTCTGACAAATTACTGCAGAACTTGGCGTCACGAACAGGATTTCGACAGGAGACACTAGGACCGGTCAGAGAAAAGATTAATTTGGCGCCAAAGTAAAACGGTAAGATTGTTACCAACTAATTAATCTTTCCTTTCACCTGACCTGAGACCTAAAAATAAAAAACAAACAAACAAAAGTAGGGTAAATATTGAAGGATTTGCTTGCAAGTATTTTTATATTTATTGGGATAATAGTATTCTAAAGTCTAAGTGACTTAAGAAAAGGAGAAAAAACTGTGTGTTATCTCAGTGATTGATAGTCAACCTAAAAGGACTGTGTGAGGATCTAAGTGATTTATGAGTTAAAAGGAGTGAACTGTGTGTAATCTCAGTGATTTAATAGTTGAAGGAGAAAACTGTGTGTTTTAATTAATTGACAATAAGGGAAAGGACAGGGACAGTGTCTAACTTTTCTCACTTTTTAATTTTTCTCTTGGTGTGAATGAGTGATTGATGTTTTCTGTTGAAAGTGACCATTGCACAAACGGTCACAGTGAACGCAGTAATTTGGGTCGCGTAGGACGGGGTCACGATTCGTGCGTACATTTCCCCACCACATTTTGTGGTCGAACGGGGAGATACCACGATCTGACGCTCTAAGATTACGCACCCAATTGCTGATTCTTTACATTGATATTGATAACACAAGGCTTGTAATCTAGACGGTAGAAAACATGGCATCTGTAACATTAGATGAGTGGATAAAGGGGATTATACAGTATTTAGAGGGGACAACAGAGATTAAAAATACAACAACAAGGAGCGTTAGAACATGGTTAAAATCAAAAAAGAAAGATGGTATTTTAGCTAAGTCAAATTCACCTCCAAGTGAAGGGTTAATGAAACAACTAAGAGAATTAGTTTTGGAGAAACGTTCTCAAATGCAAAGAGAGAAGCCGTTAGAAAATAAGAAAATTCAAAAGTTGACAGATGAGGTTACTCTGATTTCAATGATGATCAAACTAAATGAGAAATGGATGACTGCTGCCAAATTGCAAAGTACAGCTCCTGATTCTTCCCCTCCACCGTATGCTCCATTGTATCCAGATTTAACAGAATTAGTGAAAAGTAAAGATTCTGCAACAATGGCTCCATTGATTACATTTGAAGAGCCAATCAAATGTACCGTGACTAGCATAGGAGAGGAGAGTCTGGATCAAAAATACTCCCAAGAGGCGCTCAGGCAGGTACGGGAGGTTACAGCTCAGACTACCCAGCTTCAGAAACACATTGATCAGGTTGGAGAAATTGTGGCACAAGTGGCTGAAAGACAATTTAATGACACATTGACAAGACTGGAAAATGAGCTTAAAAATCACACGATTCAGGGAGGCCCATCTCACTTGCAGCATACCCCAGGGACTAGGGGAAATTCATTTGCAAATGGTTTTAATGGAAAAAACTTTATTAGTCATTCTAGTCCCAAATTTGACGAGATTACTTCCCAGGCAGAGAAAGGAGCAGAGCTGAGAGAGCAGGGGGCGGGAGGAGTGACAGCTCAGAGGTGCGAGGGGGGCGCAGACAGAGAGGCCCAGAAGGGAGTGGACCAACACTCAGAGGCTAGGAAGAAGACAGATTTAAGAATCAGCTTTCAGAAGCCGATTACAATTAGAAAAGAAAGACAGCATCGTTATTTTACTCGATCTAATCAGACTATAGATGCAGAATCAAGCTCGTCAGACGAAGATTTATTGATGACCGGCTCAGATGCGTTTGTAACAGCTGAACACTCAGAAGACGACGGTACGAGTGGGGAAATTTATTATCAACAGGAAAGGCGACAGAACAAGAGGAAAGCTAGGCGCAGACAAGGAGAAGATGTGTCGATGTGTCCAATTGTGGTATCGACGTCTAGGTCCGGCAGAGAGATCAGGACATGTAAACCGCTCACTATAACTGAAATTGACTCTATAAAAATGAGAATGAAAGACCCAAGGCAGTATGGGGGCAGAGCATGTTTGTTGTCAATCCTGGAACACTATCCTGCTCAAAATTTAACCCTAAATGATCTCACTACCGTTCTCGGTGTCCATCTTCCAATCATGTCCACAGGATTTGAAAATGTTGCAGTTCGAGCCACAAACAGCTGTTCAGTGGAAGCATGGTATTCAGCTGTGATGGAAAAAATGGAAACGTTATTTCCTGTGCCCATGAATGCTATGGAAACCATAAATCTAGAAGTGCAAGATGGAGAGACAGCCGAGGCCATGAAGCATAGAATAAATAAGGAGTTTGATGCATTGTATCCAAGAGAGTCCACCCCAACCTATGATTTGATCAAAAAAATGTTCTATCAGGGAACTACCGACAGCTGAGAAGGAAAAACACATTCTGAATTTGGATACTGACTCGCCAGCTTTTGTTAGGTCATATTGTACTATTAAAAAGCTACTTAGGAAGAAAAACAGCCCCAAAACTGATGATAGTTTGTCACTGATTAAGGAATTAGTTAAAGAGATTAAAAAATCTGAACCAAAGCCAGAAAAAGTGGAGAAAGCAGAAATGTTGTTTAGTGGTAATCCAAGTCCACTGCAGCCTCAGACGCAGACACAGGTGATGCAACCACAGCAGATTATACAGACTGGACAGATACAGCAGCAACCAGAGTATGAATGGCAAATGAATGGATACATGCCCTATGGAAATCAAGGACAGAGGTTCCAGACATTCCCCAGGAATAGCAGAGGTAGAGGTGGTGGACAATTTAGACAGGACAGAGATTTATCAAACATGAAGTGTTACAGGTGTGGACGGTACGGACATATAGCAAGAAATTGCAGAACGGGAGGAATGCAACACATGCAGGGTCAAGGAGGTCAGCAGCAGTTTCCATTTCAAACATACCAACAACCACAAGTGTACCAGGCACAACCACAACAGCCATACCAACAACCACAAGTGCACCAGGCACAACCGCAACAGCCATACCAGCAACCACAAATACACCAGATGTATCAGGCACCTCAACAGGTACAACCACAACAGCCAATGGTCTTGGGCCAACCACAGCCACAGTATATGACCACTCACCAGATGACAGAGTCAAGACCAGAGGTCGCTGCTCATCAACTCAGTTTATTACCGAAATGAAGATGCCGTGGTCCAGATAGAGAGGGATGCAAATAGTAACTGTAAATAGTAACTGTAACTCTATTTTAAATTTAAATTTAAATTTAAATTTATTCTTTAGAAGTGTTTTTTATTCTTATTTTTATTATCTCTTTTTGACTGTTGCACTGAGCCAAAGCAATTTCCAAGTCTGTGACCTCCCGTTACTTACGTTGGCAATAAAAATGATTCTGATTCTGATTCTGATGCATTAACGTGGCTCCAAAATTTATCACAATAACAATTGAGGGACAGCCTCAGAAACTGTTGGTAGACACTGGAGCAACATTTAGTTCATTAAAATGCAGTCTAGAGCCCTCTCAAAAGTGGAAAATCGTATCTGGATTTAATGGTTTGGCTACAAGAGTTTTTTACTCAAAACCTCTAGACTGCACAGTTACCTATAAATCAGGAGTAAAGCAGACTTTCCAACATGAATTTCTAATAGCCCCAAACTGTCCCCACAACCTAATGGGAAGGGATTTGATAAAACTTTTGAAATTGGATATTTCTTTCCAGAATGAAATTGAAGTGTCAAATGAGTTGGGCATGTTAATACAGGATTGTGGTCTCGAAACTGAACTGTTGCTCCAGCAGGAACAAAATCTTAAAACACCAAAAATTGACGATAACATAGCCACAGTTTTTTGGCTAGAGGGTAGTGAAGAATCCAATGACACATTGCATGAACTAGTTAAGCCATTTTTGCCATGGATTACTGAGAGATGCAAGGACTTGCGGTCTCCAGTAGATGTCGTACACTGTACACAGGCATATTTTAGGCATCCAGAAGATCAACAATCATATGACAACTATTTGATTGAGTGGGAAATGTACAAGACTAGTGCATGCCAGACACAGGGAGTAGGAGATCCTAAAGTGACACAAAAGCTGAATTGCGTAGTGGTGGGAGAACATGGGGTGGCGTTTGCTAACACAAATTCAAACACAGACACACTCCCAATATTTAGGGTTGACAAATCCACACCACATGTAACAATGATGATTGAGTCCAAAGCAGAGGCCAAGAATTTAGGTCCAATGTGTGTGCACTGATATTGGCCAGTGATTTAAAACCAATGTGTGTGCAACAGGGACAATTACAATACATTGTACTGCATAGTGAAACCACAGGAGGTTATGT